CTTGGTGCGGTGGTGAGTTCTCTAGGTCGACTCAGCCTCAAATGAGTACCTGGTGCGGTGGTGGGTTCTCTAGGTGGACTCAGCCTCAAATGAGTACCTGGTGCGGTGGTGGGATCTCTAGGTCGACTCAGCCTCAAATGAGTACCTGGTGCGGTGGTGGGATCTCTAGGTCGACTCAGCCTCAAATGAGTACCTGGTGCGGTGGTGGGTTCTCTAGGTCGACTCAGCCTCAAATGAGTACCTGGTGCGGTGGTGGGTTCTCTAAGTCGATTCAGCCTCAAATGAGTACCTGGTGCGGTGGTGAGTTCTCTAGGTCGACTCAGCCTCAAATGAGTACTTGGTGCGGTGTTGTGTCCCCTAGGTAGACTCGTGTGAGCGTGCGCGTGCGTGAGTGTGAGCGTGAGCATGAGTGCGCGTGTGTGCGTGTGAGTGAGTGTGAGTGAGTGCGTGTGCGTACCTGCTGGAAGTAGGCAGTGAAGCGGTGCATGTACTGGTCGTAGGGCAGGATGGCGTGGGTCTCGGGTGTGAGTGTGTGTGTGTGAGCGTGTGTGTGTGCGTGTGTGTGTGAGTGTGTGTGTGTGAGCGTGAGTGTGTGTGTGAGTGTGTGCGTGAGCGTGCGTGAGCGCGCGTGAGTGTGTGTGTGTGAGCGTGTGTGTGTGCGTGTGTGTGTGAGTGTGTGGGTCTCGGTGCGTGAGTGTGTGTGTGCGAGCGTGTGTGTGTGCGTGAGTGTGTGCGTGTGAGTGCGTGCGTGTGCGTACCTGCTGGAAGTAGGCAGTGAAGCGGTGCATGTACTGGTCGTAGGGCAGGATGGCGTGGGTCTCGGCGCGGTACACGTTGCTGTACCACGTGCCCAGCAGCGCCAGCAGCACCGGCACGTTGCGCTCCAGCGGAGCCTCCTGGAAGTGCTTGTCCTGGGCAAGGCGACGGCAAGTGTCGGCGGTGTTGTTGTTGTTGTTGTGGTGTTGTGTTGTGATGTTGTGTTGTTGTGTTGTGATGTTGTTGTGGTGTTGTTGTTGTGATGTTGTTGTGGTGTTGTGTTGTGATGTTGTGTTGTTGTTGTGTTGTTGTTGTGGTGTTGTGTTGTTGTGTTGTTATGCTGTTGTTGTTGTTGTGGTGTTGTTGTGTTGTGATGTTGTGTTGTGATGTTGTTGTGTTGTTGTTGTGTTGTGGTGTTGTTGTTGTGTTGTTATGTTGTTGTTGTGTTGTTGTGTTGTTGTTGTGTTGCTGTTGTGTTGCTGTTGTGTTGTTGTGTTGTTGTTGTGTTGTTGTTGTGTTGTTGTTGTTGTGTTGTTGTTGTGTTGTGATGTTGTTGTGTTGTTGTTGTTGTTGAGTTGTAGTGGGCGACGTGGGTGGCGGCACTCACCAGCCAGTGGGCGCCATCCAGCAGCTTCTCAAAGTTGTCGAAGCCTGTCACGTGGGGAGGGGGGGGTCACGTGGGGAGGGGGGGGGGTCACGTGGGGAGGGGGGGGTCACGTGGGGAGGGGGGGGTCACGTGGGGAGGGGGGGGGGTCACGTGGTGATGGGGGAGGGGCAGGTGGTGAGTGGGGGGGGGGTCACGTGGGGAGGGGGGGTCAGGTGGTGAGTGGGGGGGGGGGGTCAGGTGGTGAGGGGGGGGGTCACCGGGGGAGGTCAGGTGGTAAGTGGGGGGGGTCACGTGGGGAGTGGGGGGGGGGTAGGTGGTGAGTGGGGGGGTCACGGGGGGGGGCAGGTGGTGTGTGGGGGGAGGGGTTAGGTGGTGAGTGGTGAGGGTCTGGTGAGTGGTGAGTGGTGAGGGTCTGGTGAGTTTATGAGTGGTGAGTGGTGAGGGTTAGGTGAGTTGATGAGTGGTGAGGGTCTGGTGAGGTGGTGAGGGTTAGGTGGGTTTATGAGTGGTGAGTGGTGAGGGTTAGGTGAGTTTGAGTGGTGAGTGGTGAGGGTCTGGTGAGTGGTGAGTGGTGAGGGTTAGGTGGGTTTATGAGTGGTGAGTGGTGAGGGTTAGGTGAGTTGGTGAGTGGTGAGTGGTGAGGCTCTGGTGAGTGGTGAGTGGTGAGGGTTAGGTGAGTGGTGAGTGGTGAGGCTCACCGATGTGCAGGGCGATGGAGAGACCGATGGCTGACCACAGAGAGTATCGCCCGCCCACCCACTGCACAAAGACAAAGGTCCCCCATGTAGCCCACACACGCTGTTGTGGCAAGTGCTGTTAGCGAGCAGCGCCTATGTGGGTGTGGTGTGGCTAAGACCACGCCCGGCCGCCTTTGTCTCTCCCAGTGATGATGTATGATGCACACCACCGCACCAGGCACTCATTTAAGGCCGAGTCAACCTAGGGGAGGCCCAGGACCGGTTCAGATATTCGCCACAGTTATTATCCAGAGACTCACCCAGAGACCCACACAGAGACTCACTGACATACACAGAGACACAGAGACTCACCCAGAGACCCACACAGAGACACACATAGAGACTCACTGACACACACAGAGACACAGAGACTCACACAGAGACTCACACAGAGACCCACACAAAGACTCAATGACACAGACAGAGACCCACAGACTCACCCAGAGACTCACAGACACACACAGAGACCCAGAGAGACACACAGAGACACACACAGAGACACACACAGAGACTCACCCAGAGACTCACAGACACACACAGAGACCCAGAGAGTCACCCAGAGACACACCCAGAGACTCACACAGAGACTCACACAGAGATTCACTGACACACTCAGAGACTCACCCAGAGACACACACAGAGACACACACAGAGACACACACAGAGACACACACAGAGACTCACTGAACCCACGACCTCCTGCGTAGCAGGCGAGGTAGTCAACATCTCCTAGCCAGCGAGGCGAACCGTGAACCCAAGGCGCTGCGCATGTGTGCGTACTCACGTCCCAGAACTCAAACATGTTGGCCGTGTCGATCCCGAACGCCTGCACCTTGGGCTGTGTGACAACGAGCGCACACGAAGAGAAGGGCAAGCCGTGGTGTCAAGGGGTCCCTCAAGGTCATCGTCTCAAGGTGACCTCGTGATGTCAAGGTCACCTCGTTCGAGTGTCAAGGTGACCTCGTGTCACCTGAGTTCGAGTCTCAAGGTGACCTCGCGTGACCTGAGTTCAAGTGTCAAGGTGACCTCAGGTGACCTGAGTTCAAGTGTCAAGGTGACCTCAGGTGACCTGAGTTCGAGTGTCCAGGTGACCTCGTGTCACCCGAGTTCAAGTGTCAAGGTGACCTCACGTGACCTGAGTTCAAGTGTCAGTGATCTCGTGTGACCTGAGTTCAAGTGTCAAGGTGACCTCACGTGACCTGAGTTCAAGTGTCAAGGTGACCTGAGTTCAAGTGTCAAGGTGACCTCGTCTCACCTGAGTTCAAGTGTCAAGGTGACCTCGTCTCACCTGAGTTCAAGTGTCAAGGTGACCTCGTCTCACCTGAATTCAAGTGTCAAGGTGACCTCGTGTCACCTGAGTTCAAGTGTCAGACGTGGGAGGGTGGGGGCGGGGGTTGGGTCAGGGGTGGGCGGGGGTGGGGGTGAGGTGGGAGGGTGGGGGTGGGGTCAGGGGTGGGGGTATTGGCGGGGTGGGGGCGAGGGTGGGAGGGTGGGGGGTCAGGGGTGGGGTAGTGGTGGGGGTGGGGTCAGGGGTGGGGGCGGGGTGGGGTCAGGGGAGGGGGTGGGGGGGTGGGGGTAGTGGGGGTGGGGGGTGGGGGGTGGGGCTGGCACTCACCCCGTTCGTGGAGAGTGCCACGAAATGCTTGGCGACAGCGGAAGCCTGGAAAGTAAACAGAAGAGACGGTCGGCATAGTTACGGTCGGCGTGGTTACGGGAGACGCGTGGTTACGGTCGGCGTGGTTACGGGAGACGCGTGGTTACGGGAGATGCGTGGTTACGGGAGATGCGTGGTTACGGGAGACGCGTGGTTACGGGAGACGCGTGGTTACGGGAGATGCGTGGTTACGGGAGATGCGTGGTTACGGGAGATGCGTGGTTACGGGAGATGCGTGGTTACGGGCAGCGTAGTTACGGGTGGCGTGGTTACGGGTGGCGTGGTTACGGGAGACGCGGTTACGGGAGACGTGTGGTTACGGGCGGCATGGTAACGGGAGATGCGTGGTTACGGGTGATGTGCGTGTCAAAAACTTCCCACGGAAGCGGATATTACCGAGCTACTTGTGAGATCCCTTTCTACTTCAAGTGACACTCCGGTCCACACAGATCAATCCACGGAGGCGGACAGTGTCGGAGACATCACTGGCAGGAGGTCACGGGACAGACCCAGGTAATGTAAGTTGACCGAGTGATTTATCCGCCCGGCGCTCCACACATTGTTGTGAGCATCGCTCATCAGCCCTCCGTTGTTGTTGGAGGGCGACTGCCTCCAACTGCCCAGTAGCGTCCTTCACGAGCCTCCTCCACAGAGGCCGATCTTGACACCGCTGGTACCAGTCATCAGCAAGTCCACTCAGCTCCACGTCCTCCTGTACCACATCACTCCATCTCTTCTCTAGCCCGTGCCTCGCCCGTTTAGTTGGGTCTATGTGGCCAAACCGAAGCTGATTTGGCATGCGGTGGCTGGGCACGCAGTGGCTGGGCATGTGGGCTACGTGACCCAGCCAACGCATGGACACACACGGACAGGCACATAGATGCACAGACACACGGACGAACACACGGACAGACACGTGGACAGACACACAGCCACACACGGACACACATGGATACACACAGATGGACACACGGGCAGACACACACAGGCACACACAGACACACATACACATGGACGGACACACACGGACAGACACACGGACAGACACACGGACACACACGTACAGACACACGGACGATCACACGGACAGACACTCAGACACATGGGTGCAGTATTCTCACATCTTTTGCTTTCTCCAGGAACCAGGCTTTTGCCGACTCAGCGTTGGTGATGGTCTCCTGAGTGGTGAACGTCTGCACACGTCCACATCAACATCAACGTCGTCAACATCAACATCGTCGCAACATCGTCAACACCATCGTCATCGTCAACATCACCAACATCGTCAACATCAACATCGTTAACATCAACATCGTAAATATCAATATCATCAACATCATCGCAACATCATCGTCAACATCATAATCGTCAACATCACCAACATCGTCAACATCGTTAACATCAACATCGTAAATATCAATATCATCAACATCATCGCAACATCATCGTCAACATCATAATCGTCAACATCAACATCATCGCAACATAATCGCAACATCATCGTCAACATCGTAAATATCAATATCATCAACATCATCACATCATCGTCAACATCATCGTCAACATCAACATCATCGCAACATAATCGCAACATCATCGTCAACATCAACATCGTCAACATCAACATCATCGTCAACATCATCGTCGTCGACATCATTGTCAACGTCATCATAAACGTCACCGCCACTACAGACAACACTACACCAACCCACCCCCCACGTCTCGAACATTCACAATGGCCGGGACGCCGGGTAGTTTAGAAGCCTTGATGAAGAGGGTGGCGATGAAGAGGGTGATGATGAAGAGGGCGGTGTGAGTGGCTCATGATGGACTGCCGTGTACCTTGGAGGCGATGATGAAGAGGGCGGTGATGAAGAGGGCGGTGATGAAGAGGGTGGTGATGAAGAGGGCGGTGATGAAGAGGGTGGTGATGAAGAGGGTGGTGATGAAGAGGGCGGTGCAAGTGGCTCACGATGGACTGCCGTGTACCTTGGAGGCGATGATGAAGAGGGCGGTGATGAAGAGGGTGATGATGAAGAGGGTGGTGATGAAGAGGGTGATGATGAAGAGGGTGATGATGAAGAGGGTGGTGATGAAGAGGGCGGTGATGAAGAGGGTGGTGATGAAGAGGGCGGTGATGAAGAGGGTGGTGATGATGAGGGTGGTGATGAAGAGGGTGGTGATGAAGAGGGTGATGATGAAGAGGGTGATGATGAAGAGGGTGATGATGAAGAGGGTGATGATGAAGAGGGCAGTGCAAGTGGCTCACGATGGACTGCCGTGTACCTTGGAGGCGATGATGAAGAGGGTGGTGATGAAGAGGGCGGTGATGAAGAGGGCGGTGATTAAGAGGGTGATGATGAAGAGGGCGGTGATGAAGAGGGCGGTGCGAGTGGCTCACGATGGACTGCCGTGTACCGTGGAGGCGATGATGAAGAGGGTGGTGATGAAGAGGGCGGTGATGAAGAGGGTGATGATGAAGAGGGTGATGATGAAGAGGGCGATGATGAAGAGGGTGATGATGAAGAGGGCGGTGATGAAGAGGGTGATGATGAAGAGGGCGATGATGAAGAGGGTGATGATGAAGAGGGTGGTGATGAAGAGGGCGATGATGAAGAGGGTGGTGATGAAGAGGGCGGTGCGAGTGGCTCACGATGGACTGCCGTGTACCTTGGAGGCGATGATGAAGAGGGTGGTGATGAAGAGGGTGATGATGAAGAGGGCGATGATGAAGAGGGTGATGATGAAGAGGGTGATGATGAAGAGGGCGGTGATGAAGAGGGCGGTGATGAAGAGGGCGGTGATGAAGAGGGTGGTGATGAAGAGGGCGGTGCGAGTGGCTCACGATGGACTGCCGTGTACCTTGGAGGCGATGATGAAGAGGGCGGTGATGAAGAGGGTGGTGATGAAGAGGGCGGTGATGAAGAGGGTGGTGATGAAGAGGGTGGCGATGAAGAGGGTGGTGATGAAGAGGGTGGTGATGAAGAGGGCGGTGCGAGTGGCTCACGATGGACTGCCGTGTACCTTGGAGGCGATGATGAAGAGGGCGGTGATGAAGAGGGTGATGATGAAGAGGGTGGTGATGAAGAGGGTGATGATGAAGAGGGTGATGATGAAGAGGGCGGTGATGAAGAGGGTGGTGATGAAGAGGGCGGTGCGAGTGGCTCACGATGGACTGCCGTGTACCTTGGAGGCGATGATGAAGAGGGCGGTGATGAAGAGGGTGGTGATGAAGAGGGTGGTGATGAAGAGGGCGGTGATGAAGAGGGTGGCGATGAAGAGGGCGGTGATGAAGAGGGTGGTGATGAAGAGGGCGGTGCGAGTGGCTCACGATGGACTGCCGTGTACCTTGGAGGCGATGATGAAGAGGGTGGTGTCGGGCTGCAGGCTGGCCAGCGTCTTGGCTAGGTGCGTGCCGTCGATGTTGGAGATGAACGAGACGCTGGGACCCCCCACGGAGTAGGGCTTCAGGGCCTCCGTCACCATCAGGGGGCCCTGCGCACGTGGCCGCAGAGGTAAAGATGTAGGGGTTATTACGGGAGAAAAGGCGGACGAGAAACACAGGGGTGTCTGCACCCGCACACACGGGTGGCCACACCAACGTCCGCATCCGTTAACCACTGGGGGGCCATGGGGGCTCTATGATCCCCCATAACCCCGCCCCTCCGAGGGGATCTCTATAAAAGGCGGGGAGCCAGAGAGCTCGGGGCCAGTTGGACACGAAGCTGACCAGTGAAGACTGAAGACTCGGAGATTAGGCCCTGGGACTCCCCTGTCTCGCTGCCCTTGTCAGGGCCGAGCTGGGTAAGCCAGCGGCGCGGCCCAAGAACTCCCGGACCTCTGCCCTTGTGAGGGCAAGACCGGCTTAGCTGGTGGCGAGATCTGTGCTTGCCAGGGCCAGATCAGTCAGCCTCCCGTAGCCCATTAGAGGAGGACTGGGGAACAGGACAGAGGGCTTAGTACTTGGGTGGGTTCCCACATAGTACGGGTGAAGGGGCCGTTACCCCTTCAACTATTGTGTCTGTCCCTGAGTTAATAAAAAGAGTGTGCCTCAACTCCGACGTCGTCTCCCTGAACTCACTACAAAGGTAAAGGCACCACCCCCTCCCCGCCCGTGTAGCCCACGCGGGCCGCTGGGGCAAGTGCTTACGAAGCGGAGTGGTGTGGCCGGATGATGATGATGTGTGGGTTTTGATTTAATGCTTTCGTGACTGCAGGGATTCATATTCTTGGTTCTTTCGGTAAAGTCACGTAGCAGGGAAATAATACAATAATACAAATATTAAACAATACAATTCTCACGACGTTTCCACTGCAACACAAGCAATCATCATCAGGTGTGAAATCCACAGCAAGAATTTTTTTAAAAAGTGCCGTTTTTTAAATCCTTTATATTAAGTTCACTTGCTTGCTTGCGCGCTTACGACCGTGCAAATCTTTCGGTCGTTTTTTAACCCACTTCCCGCGATCCAATCGAGCTGACATTTTGCACACAGACTCGTTGTGCGAGACAATTAATTTTCGTGAAAATTTTACACTTTTTAGGAAAAAAAAAATTATATTTAATTACCAATTGCTTAATGGTAGCAGGCAATCATCTGACCCATAGGTGGCAGCCATCTCAAGCCAGAGGACGAGAGGACTCTAGCCACCACGCATATAAAGGATTTAAAGTGAAAAACTTTGTTTTTACGGGTTATACTTTTTCTCTCAAATTTTCTTGCTGTGGATTTCACACCTGATGATGATTGCTTGATGATCTTGATGCTGATAAGTGTGATGATGACGATGCTGATGATGATGAGTGTCATGATGCTGCTGCTGCTGATGATGATGATGATTATAATGAGTGTGATGATGATGCTGATGATGATGATTATAATGAGTGTGATGATGATGCTGATGATGATGATTATAATGAGTGTGATGATCTTGATGCTGATAAGTGTGATGATGATGATGCTGATGATGATGAATGTAATGCTGTTGCTGCTGCTGATGATTATAATGAGTGTGATGATGATGATGCTGATAAGTGTGATGATGATGATGATGATGATGAGTGTCATGATGCTGCTGCTGATGATGATGATGATTATAATGAGTGTGATGATGATGCTGATGTTGATGCTGCTGCTGCTGATGATGATGATGATGATTATAATGAGTGTGATGATGATGCTGATAAGTGTGATGATGATGAGTGTGATGATTATGCTGCTGATGATGATGATTATAATGAGTGTGATGATGATGCTGATGTTGATGCTGCTGCTGCTGATGATGATGATGATTATAATGAGTGTGATGATGATGCTGATAAGTGTGATGATGATGAGTGTCATGATGCTGCTGCTGCTGCTGATGATGATTATAATGAGTGTGATGATTATGCTGCTGCCGATGATGATGCTGATGATAATGAGTGTGATGATCTTGATGCTGATAAGTGTGATGATGATGAGTGTCATGATGCTGCTGCTGATGATGATGATGATTATAATGAATGTGATTCTGCTGCCGATGATGCTGTTGAGTGTGTGGAGTGGCGAAACTCACCAGGTCCGACCCTCCGATGCCAATGTTCACCACGTGAGTCATGGGCTTCCCCGTGTAGCCCAGCCACTCGCCGGAGCGCACGCGCTGCACAAAGACAAAGGTCCCCCGTGTAGCCTCGACCGACTGCTGCGGGCAAGTGCTGTTAGCAAAATTCTTTCGCACCGTACGTAGCCAACAACAACAACAGCAACCTAAACACACAAAGCAGTTGCGAAGCAATGAGTTCGTCGATGTAGATGGCGATTTGAGAGTGTACGGGTCCTGTGGCTTCCTGATATCGGAAGGAAGAGCGCGTTCCAGACGGCCGCGGAAGGGAATCCCAAAGCGCCGCGGGGTTGTGTGTGTGTGTACATGTGTGTATGTGTGTGTGTGTACATGTGTGTACGTGTGTGTGTACATGTGTGTACGTGTGTGTGTGTGTACATGTGTGTACGTGTGTGTGTGTGTACATGTGTGTACGTGTGTGTGTATATGTGTGTGTACGTGTGTGTGTGTAAACGTGTGTGCGTACCTGTGTACGTGTGTGTACATGCGTGTGTGTACGTATGTGTGTGTACACGTGTGTGTCATCTCGGTCAGTCGACCCGTGGCACCTGGGTCTGCCCCGTGACCTCCTGCCAGCGGGCTTTCGACACTTCACGTGGCCTCAAGGTGCACTTGGCCTGGCACAAGCATCGTGGTGACGTCACCGCCACTTAGTGGCGAATGGCGGTTGTTGTTGTTGTTGTGTACATGAGTGTGTGTACACGTGTGTCTGTGTACGTATGTGTGTGTACATGTGTGTGTACATGCGTGTGTGTACACGTGTGCCGTGCCGGCCTTCATAGGTGCCACTCGCTAACAGCACTTGCCCCAACAGTCCGTCAAGGCTACACGGGGCATCTTTGCCTTCTGTGTGTGTACCCACGTGACAGAAGGCCTTCATCTTCTCGAGCACGGCCTTCACTCCGGGCATCACGTCTTTCCCCTCCAGCATCAGCGGCTTCCCCGAGCGGTTCCTCAGCGCCACGTGCAGAACTGCACGGTGCTGTGCACGCACACACCAAAGACAAAGGTGCCGTCCAATGTGTAGCCTTCAAGACTGCTGGGGCAAGTCGCAGGCCGTCGATAATTGCAACCAGCTTCATCAGGCGACAGACAGATTGGGCGTGAATGTTGTGGCTTGGCTCTCCAACACACAACCGGTGTGCTGTACTGATATACTACACTCTACACTACACTATACACTACATTATACACTACTATACACTACACTACTATACACTACACTTATACACTGCACTATACACTACTATACACAATACACTACACTATACACTACGCTACTATACACTACTATACACTACACTACTATACACTACACTACTATACAATACACTACTATACACTACTATACATTACACTATACACTACACTACTATACACTATACTATACACTGCACTATACACTACACACTACAATACACTACACTATACACTACACTATACACTACTATACACAATACACTACACTACTATACACTACACTACTATATACTACTATACACAATACACTACACTATACACTACACTACTATACACTACACTACTATACACTACACTACACCATACACTACAATACACTACACAATACACTACACTATACACTACTATACACTACACTACACACTAGTGCTGTACTAGTAACGAATTGGCACGTTCTGTCTACGTGACAACCCTCACTAGTTGGCTGTCGGGTGGTGGCGGGTTTAACGACACAACATTTATACATTCACGCAATCTCACCCAAACAAGCCTCTATCACGGTCCTTAAGAACTGATCTCCAACTGCTCAGCTACCCCAGGACCTACAGGTCGCGCTCTCTTGCCGATCCGTGCTTCTGTTAGCGTGGCACCCACAAGGCGCGGAAAACCCATCTCTTTAAACTGAGCCGCAATTTTACATTTTAATCATTCTTATTTATGGCCCAGTCGACCTAGGGATGGATCAGGTCCGGTCTCAGATAATCTTCACCGGTGCATGAGGAGATCTCGAAACAAACCCAGCAGGTGCCATGGGTTGGCCGACTGAGATGACCGGTAGATGCACCACCAACTGTGTACCTCCTACTGTGCCAACTCACTGCGTTTTAACCGCCCGGCGCTTCGCTCGTTGTTGTGAGCTGTCGCTCCTCCGCCCTCCGCTGTTGCTGGAGGGCGACTGCCTCCAAATCCCTGGCAACATCGTTCTTTTCTAGAAGCGACGTGGCCACAAATGATAGCTCAACGAAGTGGCTCGTCGCGTGGAAATGTATCGCAGCCAAATACTGATTTTTAATGTGGAGGGAAAGACCCAGGAGGATCCGGAGAAAAATCCACGTGACCACGGGGAGAGAGACACGCAAACTCCAAATATACAGCAGCAGGCGTCAGGGTCGGGATCGAACCCACGACCTCCTGTACACCAGGCGAGGTAGTTAACATCTCCTAGCCACCATGATGATGATGAGAGAGAGACACGCAAACTCCAAATATACAGCAGGCGTCATGGTCGGGATCGAACCCACGACCTCCTGTACACCAGGCGAGGTAGTCAACATCTAGCCACCGTGATGATGATGAGAGAGACGCAAACTCCAAATATACAGCAGCAGGCGTCAGGGTCGGGATCGAACCCACGACCTCCTGTACACCAGGCGAGGTAGTCAACATCTCCTAGCCATCGTGGCGCTCAAAGCGGTGCTCGTTTTCACGGCTACGCAATCACCAGCGGCAAGTGTTGCCAACACCGTCCCGGGCAGTTTGGCCCGGACGCCGCTCATCCCTCACCTCGGTGAAGTTGATTTTCTCGCCAGAGAACATTTGTTCTCGGGCCTTCTCCACCCCACGTGCCTTTGCCTGGTGAGGTGAGGGGGGGGGGGGGACACGGGGGAGAGGGGGTGAGAGGGTAACAAGAGAGAGAATGAGTGAGTGAGTGAATGAATGGGTGAATTAATGAGCGAATGAATGGGTGAAAGAATTGGTGAATGAATGAGTGAATTAATAGGTGAATGAATGAGTGAATGAATGAGTGCATGAATGGGTGAAAGAATTGAGGAATTAATGAGTGAATGAATGAGTGAATGAATTGGTGAATGAATGGGTGAATGAGTGAATGAATGAGTGAATGGATGGGTGAATTAATGAGCGAATGAATGGGTGAAAAAATGAGCGAATGAATGGGTGAATAAATGGGTGAAAGAATTGGCGAATGAATTAGTGAATGAATAGGTGAATGAATGAGTGAATGAATGGGTGAATGAGTGAATGAATGGGTGAATGAGTGAATGGATGGGTGAATTGATGGGTGAATGAATGGGTGAATGAATGGGTGAATGAGTGAATAAATGGGTGATTGAATGGGTGAATGAGTGAATAAATGGGTGATTGAATGGGTGAATGAGTTCGTGAATGAGTGAATGGATGGGTGAATGAATGGGTGAATGAGTGAATGAATGGGTGAATGAGTGAATGAATGGGTGAATGAGTGAATAAATGGGTGATTGAATGGGTGATTGAATGGGTGAATGAGTTCGTGAATGAGTGAATGGATGGCTGAATGAATGGGTGAATGAGTGAATGAATGGGTGAATGAGTGAATGAGTGAATGAATGGGTGAATGAGTGAATAAATGGGTGATTGAATGGGTGATTGAATGGGTGAATGAGTTCGTGAATGAGTGAATGGATGGGTGAATTAATGGGTGAATGAGTGAATGGATGGGTGAATGAGTGAATGAATGGGTGAATGAATGAGTGAACGAGTGCGAGCAGCTGGGGGGCGAGTGCCGTTCGCGAGGGGCAGCGTCTACCAAGGGCGGCTGGCACGGCACACGAAGGGCAGGGGGTGGGGGCAGCACCACGTGCCCCCCCTCACACCCCCCCCCCCCCCCCCCCGGGGCCGAATTTCCACAGTTCCATTCACGTGAATCAAACATTGGCAATAGGCCGTGCCAGGTGGTGGGGGGTTTAACGGCATGTGTATTTATGCCAAGGCCATAGCCATGGAGTCAACATTGGGGGGGGCAAATCTTCCAGGGGGTCTAGGCCCCCCCCTCCCCCCCAGAAAAAAAACATCGAATTTTAAAAACGAATTTCCTGCCTAAAATATTTAAAAATGCACTAACACATAGGATGGACTTTACATTTTTTTTTTACAATAATGTCTAATAGTGTATTGTAATACATTGCTCTGTTTTTTTTACCTTTTCTTGTTTCATTGTATGTAATGGCAGAGATTAGGGATTAATACAGTACAACCATAACCACAATCATATAAACAGAAATCTATTTTATAGCAATATATTGTGGGGAACATTTGGAGCATATTTGAATATTATTTATTATAATTACGGCATTGATTTATGCGATCTAACCCCCAACTAACAAAAACAAGCCCCTGTACTATGGTAGAGGAGTGCGAGTTGCAATTATAATCGATCCTTGTCAATAAACACTACACCCCGCGCCACCTATGAAGGCAACCGGCACTGTGGCACACGAGGGGGTGGGTGGCCAGCACCACGCCCGGCCGCCTTTGTCTCCCCAGTGGCGATGTTTACACACCGCACCAGGTACTCATTTGAGGCCGAGTTGGTGCGGTGACCAATTGACCCAAAGACTGGCTGAGCTGCCCGCAGGCTGACTGGCTGATGGACAAGCTAATGGACTGACTGATGGACTGACTGATGGACTGGCTGATGGACAAGCTAATGGACTGACTGATGGACTGACTGATGGACTGACTGATGAACCGGCTGATGGACTGACTGATGGACTGACTGATGGACGGGCTCATGGCCTGGATGATAGACTGACTGATGGACTGACTGATGGACTGGATGATGGACTGGCTGATGGACTGACTGATGGACTGAATGATGGAGTGACTGATGGACCAGCTGATGGACTGACTGATGGACCAGCTGATGGACTGGTTGATGGACTGGTTGATGGAGTGACTGATGGACCAGCTGATGGACTGCACGGCAGTGCAGTGTCTCTCTGCAGGTGTTGGCGGTGTCCTCACCATGTCCACGAGCATCTTCATCACCTCTTCATTGATGAGGTTCTTAGAGTAGTCAAAGAGGAGCTCCCCATCCTCGGTCTTCAGCACCGTGCTACACAAAGACAAAGGTCGCCCGGGTAGCCTTGAGCAGACTGTTGGGGCAAGAGCCGTTCGCGAGCGGCCCCTACGAAGGCCGGAACGGCGCACGCTGTGAGAGGCGGTGTGGCCAGAGCCGGGTCCCGGCCGCCCCAGTGGTGACGCTTTCAACACACCGCGCCAGGGACTCATTTATGGCCGAGTCGACCTGGGGGAGGCCCAGAACATGCTTCAGATTTTCATCACTGATGTTGGCCGTGAGCGGGAATCTTACTCGGGTTCATAGCGTAGCGTGCTAACCGCTATACCACCGCTCCCCACACACCGACACCCATAGAGACACATACAGACACACACACCCACACAGACACACACACAGACACACCCAGACACACACACAGACACACACACCCACACAGACACACACACAGACACACCCAGACACACACACAGACACACACACCCACACAGACACACACACAGACACACCCAGACACACACACAGACACACACACCCACACAGACACACACACAGACACACCCAGACACACACACAGACACACACACCCACACAGACACACACCCACACAGATACACCCAGACACACACACACAGACACACACACCCACACAGACACACACAGACAGACACACACAGACACACACCCACACAGACACACCCACACAGACAGACACACCCACACAGACACACCCACGCAGACACACACCCACACAGATACACCCAGACAGACACACACAGACACACACCCACACAGACACACCCAGACAGACACGCACACCCCAGACACCCTTACATAGGCACTGAGCGCAGTTTCAAGTGTCTGCCCCTCCTATATATACACACACACACATATACACACACACCCACACACACACACGATATTATATTATAATTGTCAGGGTCACCAACCCTACACTCGGTCAGAAATAGCCGCGTTAATAATTAAATAACTCGCCCAAAGGTTGGGCACCCAAATTAGCCGGACCCCTAAGTCAGCAAGTCTCACCAGCGGGTCTCGGGTTCCAGCAGACAGCACGCAGGCAGATAAAAAACACAGCCTGCTACAGCCTGCAACAGCCTGCTACAACTTGCAACAGGCTGCTACAGCCTGCGACAGCCTGCGACAGCCTGCGACAGTCTGGGGCAGCTTGCAAGAGGCTGCTACAGCCTGCGACAGCCTGGAACAGCTTGCAACAGGCTGCTACAGCCTGCCACAGCCTGGAACAGCTTGCAACAGGCTGCTACAGCCTGCAACAGCTTGCAACAGGCTGCTACAGCCTGCGACAGCCTGCGACAGTCTGGGGCAGCTTGCAACAGGCTGCTACAGCCTGCAACAGCCTGCTACAGCCTGCTACAGCCTGCTACAGCTTGCAACAGGCTGCTACAGCCTGTGACATCTTGCAACAGCCTGCTACAGCCTGCAACAGCCTGCTACAGCCTGCTACAGCCTGCTACAGCTTGCAACAGGCTGCTACAGCCTGCTAGTGCCTGCTACAGGCTGCTACAGTCTGCTACAGGCTGCTAGTGCCTGCTACAGCCTGCAACAGCTTGCAACAGTCTGAAACAGCCTGATACAGCCTACGACAGTCTGCGACAGCCTACGACAGTCTGTGACAGCCTGCTACAGCCTGCTAGTGCCTGCTACAGCCTGCTACAGCTTGCAACAGCCTGCTACAGCCTACGACAGTCTGCGACAGCCTACGACAGTCTGTGACAGCCTGCTACAGCCTGCTAGTGCCTGCTACAGGCTGCTACAGTCTGCTACAGGCTGCTAGTGCCTGCTACAGCCTGCAACAGCTTGCAACAGCCTGATACAGCCTGATACAGCCTGCTACAGCCTGCAAAAGCCTGCTACAGCCTGCAACAGCCTGCTACAGCCTGCGACAGCCTGCGACAGCCTGCTAACAGCCTGCAACAAGCTACTACACCCTGCAACAGCTTGCAACAGGCTGCTACAGCCTGCTACAGGCTGCTACAGGCTGCTACAGCCTGCTACAGGTTGCTACAGCCTGGAACAGCTTTCAACAGGCTGCTACAGCCTGTTTCAGCCTGATACAGCCTGCTACAGCCTGCTAGTGCCTGCTACAGCCTGCAACAGCTTGCAACAGTCTGAAACAGCCTGCTACAGCCTGATACAGCCTGCTACAGCCTGTAGCAGCTTGCTACAGCCTGCTACAGCCTGCTACAGGCTGCGAGAGGGGCAAGCGCCGTTCGCAAAGTGCCGAGCGGCACCTGCGACGGACGGCGCTACGACACACGAGGGGTGGGTGGCAGCACCACGCCCGGCCGCCTTTGTCTCCCCAGTGGCGATGTTGTTTACACGTGGGGGCAGGTTACTCGTTTTGAGGCTGAGACGACCTCGGGGAAACCCAGGACCGGTTCAGATAATCGTCGCTCACAGATGTTGCACGCGCACACACGCAGATGTTGCACACACAGCACACACACACACACAGATGTTGCACACAGACATTGCACACACGCAGACACACACACAGCACACACACACACAGATGTTGCACACGCACACACGCAGATGTTGTACGCACACACACACACGCAGACACACACACAGCACACACACACACACAGATGTTGCACACGTACACACGCAGATGTTGCACACACGCACACACACGCAGACACACACAGCACACACACACAGATGTTGCACACGCACACACGCAGATGTTGCACACACACACAGACATTGCACACACACACATTACACACACAGACACTGCACACACACACAGACATTACACACACACATTGCTTGCACACACACACACTACACATCAACATACTGCATGCACACACAAATCAACACACACACATACATTACACACACACACATTGCACGCACACACACATCAACACACCGCACACAGACATTGCATGCGCACCGATACACACACACACACACTGCACACAGACACTGCACATACACACACATTGCATGCACACAAACACAGCACTGCTGCTGCTGCTACTTCTGCTGCTACTTCTGCTGCTACTGCTGCTACTGCTGCTGCTACTGCTGCTACTTCTGCTGCTGCTGCTACTGCTACTACTGCTGCTACTGCTGTTGCTACTGCTGCTGCTACTACTGCTGCTGCTGCTGCTACTACTGCTGCTACTGTTGCTGCTGCTACTGCTGCTGCTACTACGACTGCTGCTGCTGCTGCTACTACTGCTGCTACTGCTACTACGACTGCTGCTGCTGCTACTACTGCTACTGCTGCTACTGCTGTTGCTACTGCTGCTGCTACTACTCCTACTGCTGCTGCTACTGCTGCTGCTACTACTGCTGCTGCTGTTGCTACTGCTGCTGCTACTACTCCTACTGCTGCTACTACTGCTGCTGCTACTGCTGCAACTGCTACTACTGCTGCTGCTGCTACTGCTGCTACTACTGCTGCTGCTACTACTGCTGCTGCTACTACTGCTGCTACTGCTGCTGCTACTACTGCTGCTGCTCCTACTGCTGCTACTGCTGCTGCTGCTACTACTGCTGCTACTGCTGCTACTACTGCTACTACTGCTGCTGCTACTACTGCTGCTACTACTGCTGCTACTGCTGCTGCTACTGCTACTACTGCTGCTACTACTACTGCTACTACTGCTGTTGCTACTACTGCTGCTACTGCTACTACTGCTGCTACTGCTGCTGCTACTACTGCTGCTACTACTGCTGCTACTACTGCTACTGCTGCTACTACTGCTGCTACTGCTGCTGCTACTACTGCTGCTACTGCTGCTACTACTGCTGCTGCTACTGCTGCTACTGCTACTACGACTGCTGCTACTGCTGCTGCTACTGCTACTACTGCTGCTGCTACTACTGCTGCTGCTACTACTGCTGCTGCTACTGCTGCTGCTACTGCTGCAGCTACTGCTGCTGCTGCTACTGCTGCTGCTACTGCTGCTGCTACTGCTGCTGCTACTGCTGCTGCTACTGCTGCTGCTACTGCTGCTGCTACTGCTGCTCACCTGAACTTGTCGAAGCGCTTCGGGTCATCGTGGAAGAGCGTGCGCATGTGCAGGGCGGAGGCGTTTGCCGCGTGCCACTCGCAGAGCTTCTTGAAGGTCGGCTCGGCGCTCAGGGCTGGGAGGACCATCGTGGTGGTGGTGGTGGTGGTCGTGGTGGTGGTGGTTGTTGTTGGTAGTCGTGGGCTCCTTGAGACGTCTCCCTTGCCCCGGGGGGGTGCGGTGGGGTGAGCTGGATTTCGAGCCTCCCGGAATCACCTCCTTGAGAGAGTCTCGGTTCAGGACATCTGGCACTGGGGTCATCCGCCGAGAAGCTTTTTATAGCCGCGGAGAGCGGCGGCCGGGAGGGGAGGGGAGCGGGGGGTGGGAGTGGCGTTGAAATATTTGGGGCCAGACATTGCTGACGGGGAGCGATGGATCAGCGTTCACAGTTGCCAGTTCAGTCCCGAACAAGCAGACTAAAGCCTAAGAGAAGCTTTCGTGACTGCAGGGATTCATCTTCTTGGTTCTTTCGGTAAAGTCACGTAGAATGGAAATAATAAATAAAAATAAAATATTAAATTTCGATTTAAAGCTTTCGTGACTGCAGGGATTCATCTTCTTGGTTCTTTCGGTAAAGTCACGTAGAATGGAAATAATACAATAATAAAAATAAAACATAATACAATAATTCTCACGACGTTTCGGCCACAACGCAAGTATCCGTCCTCAGGTGGAGAACAGGTCTGTCGAGGAGACAGCGTCTGAATGAAAAGCCCCAGGCTTGGAGCGACTATTTAAGCTGGGATGGAGGGGGGAAGAGCGCCTTGACAAAAGAATTTGCATATCAAGAGGAATTTAGCATATTTATGGCATTATTCTTTGGTTCTTTCGGTAAAGTCACGTATAAAGATAAAATAATAAATTAAATAATAGCATACTACGACGTTTCGATTGCAACGCAAGCAATCATCATCAGGTATAAAAGAAATAGCAACAAAAATCTAACCAGAAAACTATAGACAGACATATAAGCAGACAGATATCATAAAGATACACACAGAGAGAGAGGGCACGTATCGGCACAAAAACAAAAACGCTATTATTTAATTTATTATTTTATCTTCATACGTGACTTTACCGAAAGAACCAAAGAATAATTCCTGCAGTCACGAAAGCTCCAAAATTAAGATATTTACGGGACTAAAGCAGACTAAAGCCTATGAGAAGCTTCGGGGGAAGAGCCCCCAAAATCCTTGCCGACGTCGCCAAAAGCCGAAAGGGAACCACCCCAAGATCACATCGCAGTGGGACCAGCAGCCCTCCGAATCCTCCGAATCAATGTCATCCAGAGGTCCCAAACGGGTTTTGATTCTTTACCCGTACCCGGCCGCACCAGGGTCGCAAACGGGTACCCGTACCTGTACCCAGCCGGGTACGGGTAGCCGGGTATCGGGTAGCGTACGGGTACTCGGTTGCGACCTCTGATGTCATCCAAGCGGAGGTATTGTGGTCTATGCAAACATGACTCCTTGTAAATAAGGTGTCAGTTTTGTTGCCAAATAGAAGGGTAAAAAAACATTTATCAATGCTTAAGTCGTCGCTGCCCAACGCTCCACTGCAGGAAACCTCCACACTGGTGACGGAAGAGGCCGGGCCGCTACCGCGGACACGCCAAGCGAGGCCGGGCCACCTACGTCCGAACCGACAGCACCACAAGTCACCTGGTGAACAGCCACCTCCTCAAGACACCCTGTGTGAGCTGGGAACAGCATGCCCTGCCCACACCCTCCCACACCCAGACATCTATGTCGGGGACTAACAGCTCGGGCTGAACGATTTGGGGGAAATATCGAATTGTGATTTTACTGACAGATGTTGCGATTGCGAATTGATTTGCGATAAAAAATAGAAGTCAAGCTTCAGTTCAATATTCACTGTGTAATAGATTTAGAACATGTGATGGAGCATTGCCACGTGATGCCATCAAAATATGAACTGCTCTATATATTCTAATGCAAAGACGAGAACTTAAAAGATAAGAATTGCTTCCAACGTGTATTTATAAAAATGTTTTCATTTAAAAAAATGTTTACCTACGTGACTTTACCGAAAAAACCAAAGAGTATAAATAGAACAATCAAACATATAACAATTGTTAATTTAAAGAAATAAAGTTAAAATTATAAAAAAATAAAAAAAATTCCAATAAGTAATGGGACTTTTCAAATCGCAAAAAATCGCAGCCTTTGCGTTTTTCGAATCGCATTGTTTCAAATTGTCATTTCGATTTGAAACCGACTAATCGTTCAGCCCTACTGACAGCCACCACTGAGACTTGGGTTTACCCAGCGCAAGACAGCGGCGGAGAAGCACCTGCAGACTGGGCACCGAGAAACGCGGCCCAAACAACAACGAGAGACATTCCATTCGGCCGGATGGCACAGGGCTACTGACTCACTTGACCTGCGCTGGGTCAGCGGTCTCAATGGAAGGCCCCGTTCCCAGTGCCGGATGAAGTTGGTGCGGGGCCTGTCACATGATGTTATAAAGAGGACCTACATTATGAAAACACGTAAATATTAAAACGCACACAATGTTTAATTGCATAGTACAGTACAGGTTTTACTGTAATTGTATTTTTTTATTTGCTATACAACCAGGTAATGACAAATCGCTAACCTTAAACATCCAGTCGTTCATAAAAGTCGAAGGCGGTATAGTACTATGGTAATACAGCAAGTGCGGAATCACTGAACCGCTCGAAAGCATTTAGCGCTGGGCCCTCGAAAGTGCGGGGTCCGTAGCTACTACACATGTGTAGCTACTACACGTGTGTAGCTACTACACGTGTTGTAGCTACTACACGTGTGTAGCTGCTACACGTGTAGCTACTACACGTGTTGTAGCTACTACACGTGTGTAGCTGCTACACACGTGTAGCTGCTACACGTGTGTAGCTACTACACGTGTGTAGCTACTACACGTGTAGGGGGGGGGGTCCATCACACGGTGCAAGGCGATCGCGTCAGCAACATAGCCGCACGTGGTACGCGCGCGTGTGTGTGTGTAGCGCGTGCGTAGGTGCGTGTGTATATGCATGTCGGTGTGCGTGCGTGTGTAGGTGTGTAGGTGTGCGTGTGTATGTGTGTAGCGCGTGCGTTTTGGTGCGTGCTCGCGTGCATAGGTGCGTGTGTATGTGTGCATGCGTAGGTGTGCGTGCATAGGTGTGCGTGCGTAGGTGTGCATGCGTAGGTGTGCGTGCGTAGGTGTGCGTGCGTAGGTGTGCGTGCGTAGGTGTGCGTGCGGCGTGTAGTAAACATCGGCACTGGGGAGACAAAGGCGACCGGGGCGTGGTGCTGACCACCCACCCCCCTCGCGTGCCACAGTGCCGACCTTCACAGCTGTTACTCGCTAACAGCACTTGCCCCTACAGCCTGTTACAGCTACACGGGGGTGGTGGGGGTGTGGGGGTGGGTGTCGTCATGTCCACGCGGCGTGCCCACCCACCCCTGCCGCTACTCCTCCTTCTCCTCCGCGCCGTCAAACTCCCGCCTCAGCAGCGCCGCCAGGCTCCCCACGTTCTCGCCGGTCTTCGCCGACACGCCGAGGACGACCACGGCGGCGGCTTCCGTTCCTACGCCACCGCCCTCCTCCGCTGCCGCCGCCAGCTCGTCGCGTAGCCGCGCCAGCGCCTCCCGTGCCCCCGGCAGGTCGAGCTTGGCGCCTACGATGGCGTGCGGCGCCAGCGCCAGCGAGGGGTCGTGGAGGAGCAGCTCGCGCCGCAGCTCGGAGAGGCGGCGGGCGGGGGCGGCGGCGCCGCACAGGTCCACGACGTAGAGCAGCGCGCGGCAACGCTCCACGTGGCGCAGGAAGGAGAGGCCCAGGCCGCGTCCCGCGTGCGCACCCACCACGATGCCGGGGATGTCGGCCACTGTGGGTGGGGGGGGTGGTGGGGGTGGTGGTGGTGGTGGTGGTGGTGGGGGTGGTGGTGGTGGTGGGGGTGGTGGTGGTGGTGGGGGTGGTGGTGGTGGTGGGGGTGGTGGGGGTGGTGGTGGTGGGGGTGGTGGGGGTGGTGGGGGTGGTGGTGGTGGTGGGGGTGGTGGGGGTGGTGGTGTGGCCAGGGGTGGGGGTGGTGGTGGTGGTGGTGGGGGTGGTGGTGGTGGGGGTGGTGGCGGTGGTGGTGGTGGTGTTGGTGTGGACGGGGGTGGTGGTGGGGCGGGAGAGAGAGGTTGGCGGTTGTGAGAAATATTCCGCGCGTTTTTAACGCTGTAGTAATCGTGCAATGCTATAATGTAAACATGGTAAACTCGGGGGGTTTATTTTTCTACAAGAAAGCAATCGCACAAGGGATCAAAGTGCTTTACAGGTGGTGGTAGAGGTGGTGCTGGTGGAGGTGGTGGTGGAGGTGGTGGTGGAGGTGATGATGGTGGTGGAGCTGGTGGTGGTAGTGGTGGAGGTGTTGGTGGTGGAGGTGGTGGTGGAGGTGATGATGGTGGTGGCGGCGGTGGTGGTTGTGGTAGAGGTGGTTATGGTGGTGGAAGCGGTGGTGGTGGTGTCCGGCAAAACAACCCCCTACCAACTCGTGGTGCCGGACGGCAACGCTGTGGTGGGCAGCAGTGCCATGGGGGGAGGGCCAATTTTGATTGGCCTCTCCCTTCATGGCGTTTGTAGCCACCACAGCGGCCAAACGGGGGCTCTGGACGGGTGCGAGGGGCTGGTAACCCCTCCACCTTCAATTAACTACCACTAAACTACGATGTAAAAAACTTATTAAGCTTGTGCCGGAGACGCCGGGAGGGACAGGCGTCTATGACGTCTCCTGGCCAAACCCCAATTGGCGGAGCCACGAGACTGAATCCTTACCCTCGGGGCTCCTCCAGAAACAACGAAAAGCCACTACAGATGGCCACGCTCACTGCGGAGGAGAGGCTGCCACTCCTCTGTCGGGAGCTGGACCGGTACCGCCTGGATCTTTGTGGTATTCTGGAGGTCTGGTGGACTGGCTCTGGCTCCTGCCACCATGAGGGGTGGACAGTCCTCTACTCGGGGCAGGAGAATGCCAAACAACAGGGAGTGGCTCTTCTTCTGAAGAAAAGAATGAAGGGGGCATGGGAGCGTGGCGGTGAGGTGTGGGAAGCTGTAAGCCCCAGGCAACTTTGGGCTCACCTTCCCATCAACCGGAGGCGAGGAGTGGTGGTCGTGGTTACTTATGCCTCCACCGAAGATGAACATCCGTGGAGGGATGCAGGCAAGGCCGATGAGTCAGATGCCTTCTATGACCTCCTGTCACAGGTTGCTGGCTAAAGTGGCCCCTCGGGATAGAGTCATCTTGTTGGGTGACTTCAATGCCCGAATTGGTCATGATGCTGGCACCTGGTCTGGAGTGATTGGAAGACATGGGCCAGATCAGCTCAATAACAACGGTAGGAGGCTGCTAGATTGTTGTGCAGCCCTTGTAATTACCAACATGCTGTTCTGGCATCGGCATATCCACACAACATCATGGATACATGCCGGGTCCAAGCAAGAACATCTGCTAGACTTCAGAGTAATGGAACAGCGGATGCGGGCCCATGTCCTTGACACCAGGACCTACCATGGAGCTGATCTGCCCTCTGACCATCGACTAGTCATCTGTAAGATGTGCCTGCCATTCTTCCACTCCAGTGGTGGGTGTACACCCAGGACCCTATTCAAACCCATAGTGGCCTGGTCTCAGCTAGCTGATGAAAGTTGCAAGAATTTCATCATCGCTTGCGGCTGGGGTTGGCATCGTCCCCCACTCCTCCTGATGTCGAGGGTAAATGGGCAAGGTTTAGGACTGTGACTCATGCAGCTGCAATGGCTCCTTTAGGTACGCGGTCCAGACCTCCCCAGAGACCCTGGCTGACAGAGGTGTTCAGGCTGGCTGAGAAAAAGCGACAGGCCCACTCTCATCGTCTACAGAATCCCATGTCAGAGAATGAGGATGTGGAGCTGAGTGGACTTGCCGATGACTGGTACCAGCGGTGTCAAGATCAGCCTCTGTGGAGCAGGCTCATGACGGACGCTACTGGGCAGTTGGAGGCAGTCACCCTCCAACAACAACGCCGGGTGGCTAAAGCACAGCAAATTGGCACAGTAGGGGGCACAGGTGGTGCATCAGCCAGTCATCTCGGTCATCTCGGTCAGTCGACCCGTGGCACCTGCTGGGTCTGTCCCGTGACCTCCTGCCAGTGGGCGTTCGACACTTCACGTGGCCTCAAGGTGCACTTGGCCTGGCACAAGCGTCGTGGTGATGTCACCGCCACTTAGTGGCGAATGGCAGTTGTTGTTGTTGGTGGTGGAGGTGGTGGTGGAGGTGGTGGTGGTGGTGGAGGTGCTGGTGGAGGTGGTGGTGGAGGTGGTGGAGGTGGTGGAGGAGGTAGTGGTGGTGGAGGTGGTGGAGGTAGTGGTGGAGGTGGTGGAGGAGGTAGTGGTGGAGGTGGTGGTGGTGGAGGTGGTGGAGGTGGTGGAGGTGGTGGTGGTGGTAGAGGTGGTGGTGGAGGTGGTGGAGGTGGTGGTGGTGGAGGTGGTGGAGGTGGTGGTGGTGGAGGTGGTGGTGGAGGTGGTGGAGGTGGTGGTGGAGGTGGTGCAGGTGGTGGTGGAGGTGGTGCAGGTGGTGGTGGAGGTGGTGCAGGTGGTGGTGGTGGAGGTGGTGGAGGTGGAGTGGTGGTGGTGGTGGAGGTAGTGGTGGAGGTGGTGGAGGAGGTAGTGGTGGAGGTGGTGGTGGTGGAGCTGGTGGAGGTGGTGGAGGTGGTGGTGGAGGTGGTGGTAGAGGTGGTGGAGGTGGTGGTGGTGGAGGTGGTGGAGTGTGGTGGTGGTGGAGGTGGTGGTGGAGGTGGTGGAGGTGGTGGTGGAGGTGGTGCAGGTGGTGGTGGAGGTGGTGCAGGTGGTGGTGGTGGAGGTGGTGGAGGTGGTGGTGGTGGAGGTGGTGCTGGAGGTGGTGGTGGAGGTGGTGGAGGTGGTGGTGGACGTGGTGGTGGAGGTGGAGGTGGTGGAGGTGGTGGTGGACGTGGAGGTGGTGGTGGAGGTGGTGGTGGAGGTGGTGGTGGAGGTGGTGGTGGACGTGGTGGTGGTGGTGGTGGAGGTGGTGGTGGACGTGGTGGTGGACGTGGTGGTGGACGTGGTGGTGGAGGTGGTGATGGAGGTGGTGGTGGTGGAGGTGGTGGACGTGGTGGTGGAGGTGGTGGTGGAGGTGGTGGTGGAGGTGAACGTGGTGGTGGAGGTGGTGGTGGAGGTGGTGGTGGAGGTGGAGGTGGTGGTGGAGGTAGTGGTGGAGGTGGTGGACGTGGTGTGGTGTGGTGGAGGTGGTGGTGGACGTGGTGGTGGAGGTGGTGGTGGACGTGGTGGTGGAGGTGGTGGTGGACGTGGTGGTGGAGGTGGAGGTGGTGGTGGAGGTGGTGGTGGAGGTGGAGGTGGTGGTGGAGGTAGTGGTGGAGGTGGTGGACGTGGTGGTGGTGGTGGAGGTGGTGGTGGACGTGGTGGTGGACGTGGTGGTGGACGTGGTGGTGGACGTGGTGGTGGACGTGGTGGTGGAGGTGAGCGTGACCGGCGATCTGCGTGTAGTCGCGGTATTCCACGATGCCGACGTGCGGGTGGAGCGTGGTGAAGGGGTAGTCGCCCACGGCCGGGCGAGCGTTGGTCAGCGCCCTCAGCAGGGACGACTTCCCAGCATTCGGGAAACCCACCTGGGGGGGGGGGGCGAGTGGACAAAGACAAAGGTCCCCCGTATAGCCTCCAGCAGACTGTTGGAGCAAGTGCTGTGAGTGCGAGTAGCGACTGTCAAGGCCGGCACGCCACACGGAGGGAGTGCGTACCACACAGACTCACACAGAGACCCAACAGACTCACACAGAGACCCACAGACTCACACAGAGACCCACAGACTCACAAGAGACCCACAGACTCAACAGAGACCCACAGGAATCACACAGAGGACCCAGAGACTCACACAGAGACCCATAGACTCCACAGAGACCCATTAGACCACACAGAGACCCACAGACTCACACAGAGACCCACAGACTCAACAGAGACCCATAGAACTCCCACCAGAGACCCATAGACTAACACAGAGACCCACAGACTCACACAGAGACCCACAGACTCACACAGAGACCCACAGACTCACACATGAGACCCAGAGACTCACACAGAGACCAATCTTCACACAGAGCCTCACACCCACAGACTCACACGAGGACCAACAGACTCACACAGAGACCCATAGACTCACACAGAGACCAACAGCCTCACACAGAGACTAACAACAGCGACCCACAGACTCACACAGAGACCCAACAGGACTACACAGAGACCCACAGGACTCACACAGAGACCCCCACAGGACTCACACAGAGACCCACAGACTACACAGAGACCCACAGACTCACACAGAGACCCACAGACTCACACAGAGGACCCACCGACTCACACAGAGACCCACAGACTCACACAGAGACCCACAGACTCACACAGAGACCCACAGACTCACACAGAGACCCACAGACTCACACAGAGACCCACAGACTCACACAGAGACCCACAGACTCACACAGAGACCCACAGACTCACACAGAGACCCACGAACTCACACAGAGACCCACAGACTCACACAGAGGACCCACAGACTCACACAGAGACCACACTCACAGAGACCCACAGACTCACACAGAGACCACAGACTCGCACAGAGACCACAGACTCACACAGAGACCCACAGACTCGCACAGAGACCCACAGACTCACACAGAGACCCACAGACTCGCACAGAGACCCACAGACTCACACAGAGACCCACAGACTCACACAGAGACCCACAGACTCAGAGAGACCCACAGACTCACACAGAGACCCACAGACTCACACAGAGACCCACAGACTCACACAGAGACCCACAGACTCACAGAGACCCACAGACTCACACAGAGACCCACAGACACACAGAGACCCACAGACTCACACAGAGACCCACAGACTCACACAGAGACCCACAGACTCACACAGAGACCCACAGACTCACACAGAGACCCACAGACTCGCACAGAGACCCACAGACTCACACAGAGACCCACAGACTCACACAGAGACCCACAGACTCACACAGAGACCCACAGACTCACACAGAGACCCACAGACTCACACAGAGACCCACAGACTCCACAGAGACCCACAACTCACGTAGGACCCACAGACTCACAGAGACCACAGACTCACACGAGACCCACAGACTCACACAGAGACCCACAGACTCACACAGAGACCCACATACTCACAGAGACCCACAGACTCACACAGAGACCCACAGACTCACAGAGACCCACAGACTCACACAGAGACCCACAGACTCAGAGACCCACAGACTCACACAGAGACCCACAGACTCACAGAGACCCACAGACTCACACAGAGACCCACATACTCGCACGAGACCCACAGACTCGCACAGAGACCCACAGACTCACACGAGACCCACAGACTCACACAGAGACCCACAGACTCACACAGAGACCACATACTCGCACGTAGACCCACAGACTCACAGAGACCACAGCGCACGAGACCCACAGACTCACACAGAGACCCACAGACTCACACGAGACCCACAGACTCACACAGAGACCCAAGACCACATGAATCGCCAGAGACTCCACAGACTCACACAGAGACCCACAGACTCACACAGAGACCCCAGACTCAAAAAGAGACCAAAGACTCACACAGAGAACCACAGACTCACACAGAGACCCACAGACTCACACAGAGACCCACAGAACTCACACAGAGACCCATAGATGTGCCCTCACGGTCCCCCCCCCCAACATTGTGACCTTAGGTTCCTCTTCCGCTTGGTCGCCAGACGCGCTGAGACTCACCAGGCCAAAGTGAGCCATGGGTCTGATTTCCAGTTTCAGGGTCCTCTCTTCTCCCTCCGTTCCCTGCACAGGCAAAAGGCGGCGATGATGTTTTCGGCGAGCGCCTCTCAAGCCGGCAGCGGCCCGAGGTCGCAAACGGGTTTTGATTCCTTACCCGTACCCATACCCGGCCGCACCAGGGTCGCAAACGGGTACCCGTACCCGGCCGTACCCGTACCCTACCCGTACCCAGCCGTGTGTACGTGTGTATATGTGTACATGTGTACGTGCGTGTGTGCGTACGTGTGTACACGTCTACGTGTGTACGTGTGTGCGTACGTGTGTACGTGTGCGTACGTGTGTACGTGCGTGTGTGTGCGTACGTGTGTACGTGCGTATGTGTGCGTACGTGCGTACGTGCGTGTGTGCGTTCACCTTCTCCGTGGTGGTGGGTGCCCGGTTGTCGTTGGTGAGGAAGCTGTGGTTGCCGCGCCCCCCGACCCCCCCCCGCGCCACCACCACCTCCTCGCCCTGCTCGCTGAGGTCGGCCACCAAGGAGCCCGCCTCACGTACCACCGTGCCCACCGGCACCTACACACGGGCAAAGGTCACCCGCGTAGCCCACGCACGCCGTCGGGGCAAGTGCCGTTGGCGAGCGGCACCCAAGATCGGGGCCGTGTGGCCAGAACCGCACCCGGGGGGGCGACACGTGTTGACCGAGCGGCACTCGCTTTGAGGCTGAGTCGACCTAGGGCAAGCCCAAAGCTGTTCAGATGTTGTTGGCGGGAACTGAACTAGGGTCACCGGTGTTCGTGGAGCAGTGCGCTAATCACTGCACCAGCGCTCCCCCCGCCCCCGTACACTCGTGCACAACGACAACCGCCATTCGTCACTAAGTGGCGGTGACGTCACCACGGCGCTTGTGCCAGGCTAGGTGCACTTTGAGGCCACGTGAAGTGTCGAACGCCCGCTGGCAGGAGGTCACGGGGCAGACCCAGGTGCCACGGGTCGACTGACTGAGATGACTAAGATGACTGGCTGATGCACCACCTGTGCCCCCTACTGTGCCAAACACACACTACGAGACACACGCGACACAGACAGACGACAGAAACAAACACACACAAAGACAAACACACACTACGAGACACACACAGACAGACAGAAACACACACACACACATAGACACACACTACGAGACACACACACAGACACACAGACAGAAACACACACACAAAGACAAACACACACTACGAGACACACACAGACAGAAACACACACACACATAGACACACACTACGAGACACACACACACACAGACAGAAACACACACACACATAGACACACACTACGAAACACACACACAGACAGACAGAAACACACACACACACATAGACACACACTACGAGACACACACACAGACAGACAGAAACACACACACACATAGACACACACTACGAAACACACACACAGACAGAGAGAAACACACACACACAGACAAACACACACTACGAGACACACACACACAGACAGACAAAAACACACACACACTACGAGACACACACAGACACAGACAGACAGAAACACACAGACAGACAGACAGAAACACACACACACATAAACACCACACTACGAGACACACACACAGACAGACAGAAACACACACACACACAGACAGACAGACAGAAACACACACACACACACACAGACAGACAGAAACACACACACACAGACGCGCTGAGAGACGCACGCCAGACAGGCACGGCAGACACAGACACACACTACAAGACACACACACACAGACAGAAACACACACACACACAGACACACCCTACGAGACACACACACGCGACACAGACAGAAAGACACACAGACAGACAGAAACACACACACACATAGACACACCCTACGAGACACACACACACAAACAGACAGAAACACACACACATAGACACACCCTACGAGACACACACAGACAGACAGAAACACACACACACAGACAGACAGAAACACACACACATAGACACACCCTACGAGACACAGACACAGACAAACGACAGAAACACACACACAGACAAACAGACAGACAGAAACACACACACACACACAGACAGAAACACACACTCACACATAGACACACCCTACGAGACACACACACACAAACACAGACAGACAGACAGAAACACACACACAGACGGACGCGCTGAGAGACGCACGCCAGCCAGACGCACAGCACACACAGACAGACAGAAACACACACACACAAACAGACAGAAACACACACACAAACAGACAGAAACACACACACACAAAGAGACAGAAACACACACACACAGACAGACAGACAGAAACACACACACACAGACAGACAGAAACACGCACACATAGACACACCCTACGAGACACACACACAAACAGACAGAAACACACACACACACAGACAAACAGACAGAAACACACACACACAGACAGACAGAAACACACACACAGACAGACAGACAGAAACACACACACACACAGACAGACAGAAACACACACACAGACAGACAGACAGAAACACACACACACAGACGGACGCGCTGAGAGACGCACGCCAGCCAGAGGCACGGCACACACAGACGTACACTACGAGACACACACACACAGACAGACAGACAGAAACACACACACACACACAGACAGAAACACACACACAGACAGACAGACAGAAACACACACACACAGACAGACAGAAACACACACACAGACAGACAGACAGAAACACACACACACACAGACAGACGCGCTGAGAGACGCACGCCAGCCAGAGGCACGGCACACACAGACGTACGTGGAGGAATTTGTCTTTGCCGTTGCGTCCGAAGCATTTGTCCGAGCCACCCGAAGTCCCATCGTGTCCGCGGTAGAGACGGGACACCCCAGACAGGGAGCGAACCATTCTGTCCGCTGGTACAAAGACAAAGATCCCCCGTGTAGCCTTAACAGACTGTCGGGGCAAGTGCTGTTAGCGAGCATCTGTGAAGGCCGGCACGGCACACGAGGGGGTGGGTGGCCAGCACCACGCTCGGCCGCCTTTGTCTCCCCAGCGGCGATGTTTACTACACACCGCACCAGGTACTCATTTGAGGCTGAGTCGACCTAGGGGAGGTCCCGGACCGGTTCAGATAATCGTCACTGGTGTTGGCCGTGAGCGGGAATCAAACCCGGGTTGCCGGGTTCATAGCGCAGCGCGCTAACCGCTAGACTACCGCTCCCCAAATGCAAGAGGACACACGCACACCATCAACAGTTTCACATTTTACTGGGTACAGCCCCACTGGGCTACATGGGTCTTTCTATTACACGCTTTCTATTAACTCACTCTGTCTGTTGTTGTTGTATCCTCAAATCTTGTAAGTCAATTTTAACCCACTTCCCAATGTGGTATGGACTGCAAACTTGGTATACTTATGTCATACTGATGACAATACTATATTATATCATTAAAAACATTTTTTTTAAACATTCTTTTTTTATATGTTATGTTTCGGCTTGGGTCTAATTGTCCACGGTCAACTGACGTTGGCTGTAAATGACCACGTGGCCCCTTACGTTATGGCAAGCCTTGGGGCCACTTCCTGGAGTCGTTTCACCAGACACACATAATCACAACTTTGCGTTAAACTGTACCTCCGATAACAATATGTGCATATTACAGCAGCAGGCGTCAGGGTCGGGATTAAACCCACGACCTCCTGCACTAACATCTCCTAGCCACACAATAAATATTGTTGGGGGCGTGGGAGGGTGAGGAGGTAGGGGGGGGTGGGTGCTTACCGACCATGATGACGTCGCCCCCCCTTCCCCCGTTGCCACCGTCGGGACCCCCAAACTCCTTGCGAGGCTCGCTGTGGAAGGCGCACATCCCGTCGCCCCCGCGGCCCCCCGAGACTTGCACCACTCGCTCGTCCACGAACCAGCGCGCCTGGCAAGGACACAGACAAAGATCCCCCCCCAACGGTGTAGCCTTAACAGACTGTAGGGGCAAGTGCTGTTAGTGGGCATCTATTAAGGTCGGCACGGCACACGAGGGGGTGGGTGGCCAGCACCACGCCCGGCCGCCTTTGTCTCTCCAACGGCGATGATTTCACGCACCGCACCAGGTACTCATTTGAGGCCGAGTCGACCTAGGGGAGGCCCAGGACCGGTTCAGATAATCGTCACTGGTGTTGGCTGTGAGCGGGAATCGAACCCGGATCGCCAGGTTCATAGCGCAAAAAAACTGACACCTTTTTTACAAGGAGTCATGTTTGCATAGACCACAATACCTGCAGTCGTAATGCAAACAAAAAAACCACAACTCTGATAATGTATGCACTGTCCTTGAAGTTGATTGGTCCACACCCGAGACAGCTTTCCTTAGAGCCTAGTCTCACATGGTGTTGGACCAGATGACGCCAAAGCAGAGGTCGCAAACGGGTTTTGATTCCTTACCCGTACCCGGCCGCACCAGGATCGCAAACGGGTACCCATACCCGGCCGGGTAAGGGTAGGGTACGGGTATCGGGTACCTGATTGCGACCTTTGGGATGAAGCCATGTTGCAGGCGCGGGTGGGTTGATTCTAGGAACTTGAATTGTGAGAAGAGACAAGACGTTGGGAAAAGAGTGACAAACAGTTACTCACCAATGACTCACGGTCTACCCGTACCCGTACCTGGCCGGGTACGGGTACGGGTACCCGGTTGCGACCTCTGCTTCATAGCTCATCGGATTCCTCCTCCGGTTGAAATAAATATCCCGATTCCGATTGCAATCTGTATTACCGACCCCCCCGCCCTGCCACGGTCTTGGGACGTTCCTCACCAGCTGCTTCTCCGTCATCTGCCTCCTCTCCCGCCTGTGCCTCTGGCCCCGGGCCTTCGCCGTCTCGCACAGGGCCTTGTGGGGCACGCCGAGGGGGGCGGCACGCAGAGTCAGCAAGGCCCAACCACGGCCCGCCACGGCCGAGAGGCACGGGGAGCACACCCTGGCAGCCATGCGGGGCCCCGGGGTGGCTGCGTGCGTGCGTGCGTGTGTGCGTACTTGGGTCCGTGTGTGCGTGTGTGCGTCCTTGGGTACGTGTGTGAGTGTTTGTGTGCGCGCGTGTGTTTGGAGTGATGTGGTACAGGAGGACGTGGAACTGAGTGGACTTGCCGATGACCGGTACCAGCGGTGTCAAGATCGGCCTCTGTGGAGGAGGCTCGTGAAGGACGCTGCTACTGGGCAGTTGGAGGCAGTCGCCCTCCAGCAACAACGGAGGGCGGAGGAGCGACGCTCACAACAACGAGCGGAGCGCCGGGTTGCTAAAGCGCAAGTTGGTACAGTAGGGGGCACAGGTGGTGCATCAGCCAGTCATCTCGGTCATCTCGGTCAGTCGACCCGTGGCACCTGCTGGGTCTGCCCCGTGACCTCCTGCCAGCGGGCGTTCGACACTTCACATGGCCTCAAGGTGCACATGGCCTGGGAAAAGCGTCGTGGTGACGTCACCGCCACTTAGTGGCGAATGGCGGTTGTTGTTGTTGATTGTGCGTTTGCGTGCGTGTGTGTACTTGTGTACGCGTGCGTACGCGGGTGGGCTTGTCTTTGCACGTGAGCGTGTGCGTACGTGTGTTTGTGCGTCCGTGTGTGTTTGCAGAGAACGTTGGTGCTATCTAACAGCACTTGCTCCTACGGTCTCTTAAGGCTGCACGGTTCAGTGGAGTCAGGGGACGGCGGATGAGTGAAATGCTCCTCCCCCCACCCCACCCCCGATATCCGGATGACTTGAACGCCGACTCCCCGATATCCGGAATCCCTGCGATGCACGGAGTTTTGCTAAAGCCTGCAACGACAACAACACGGCAGACGCGGGAAACATTTGGTTGGCAATCATCGTCGTCACCATCATTCACGATAATCAGGGGCGTTTGGTACGAGAGCCAAGCTGCAATGTTTTGGCTACAATGTTGTGGCCACAATGTTGTGGCCACAATGTTGCGGCTACAATATTGTGGCCACAATGTTGTGTTTTGGCTCTCCAACACGCCGGTGTGCTGTACCAGTAACAAATTGGCACGTTCTGTTTAAGTGGCAAACCTTACTAATTGACTGTGTCGGGTGGTGGCGGGTTTAACGACACGTTTATATTTACGCTATCTAACACGAAAAAACATTTATCATGGATGATATTGGTTACGTGTTAAACTGATCGTCGTCATCATCACGTGGAGATTTAAAGCAGCAGCCAAATAAACGAGTGGCGACAATGATTCTAAATGTGGCGGGGGGGAAACCCTGGAGGACCCGGGGGGAAAATCCACGCACCAAAGGGACGGAGAGAGACACGCAAACTCCAAATATACAGCAGCAGCAGTCAGCGTCGGGATCGAACCCACGACCTCCTGTACACCAGGCGAGGGAGTTAACATCTCCTAGCCACCGTGATGATAATGATGATGACAGAGAGACAATCAAACTCCAAATACACAGCAGTCAGCGTCGGGATCGAACCCACGACCTCCTGTACACCAGGCGAGGGAGTTAACATCTCCTAGCCACCGTGATGATGATGATGAGAGAGAGACACGCAAACTCCAAATATACAGCAGTCACCCACTCACTCACCCACTCACTCACCCACTCACTCACCCACTCACTCACCCACTCACTCACCCACTCACTCACCCACTCACTCACTCACTCACCCACTCACTCACCCACTCACTCACCCACTCACTCACCCACTCACTCACCCACTCACTCACCCACTCACTCACCCACTCACCCACCACTCACTCACCCACCCACTCACTCACCCACCCACTCACTCACCCACCCACTCACTCACCCACTCACTCACTCACCTCACTCACCCCACTCACTCACCCACTCACTCACCCACTCACTCACCCACTCACTCACCCACTCACTCACCCACTCACTCACCCACTCACTCACCCACTCACTCACCCACTCACTCACTCACTCACCCACCCACTCACCCACCCACCCACTCACTTATCCACTCCCCCACTCACTCACCCAACCACTCACCCACTCACTTATCCACTCACGCAACCACTCACCCACTCACCCAACCACTCACTCAACCACCCACTCACTCACCCACCCACCCACTCAACCACTCACCCACCACCAACCCACCCACTCACCCACCCACTCACCCACCCACTCACTCACTCACCCAACCACTCACTCACCCACTCACCCAACCACTCACTCACCCACCAACTCACCCACCCACTCACTCACCCACTCACTCACTCACCCACCCACTCACTCACCCACCCACTCACTCACCCACCCACCCACTCACTCACCCACCCACCCACTCACCCACCCACCCACTCTCACCCACTCACCCACCCACTCACAAGGACGCTGTTTGTCCCTGCGAGGTGGAAGAGTAGACCAAGCACCACTGCGAGAGCCCGAGCGGCCTCTAGCGGAGGAGGACCCAATTCCGCTTGTAGGCCCCAACACACGTGTGCACGGTGGCCTTCAGCATAACAACAAAGTCACAGCGAACGCACAACTCCCACGTGCACATCACGCCTCGACTCGCGCGAGAATAATTGATCTAAATCGCTTCGATAATGAACAACCACAACGACTGATAATGATAATCATCATCTTCACCATCACATCACCTTCACGTGCCAACCGGGAACGGCTTGCGACGGATGGGTGGGAAAGTCGTAGGGCGAGAATCGATTACCGATTCGCTTGAGGAAAAGTGGGCTCCGGAATCGATTATCGATTCCAACTTCTGTGTGAGTCTCAATGGGTCTCTGTGTGAGTGAGTATATGGGTCTCTGTGTGAGTGAGTATATGGGTCTCTGTGTGAGTGAATATATGGGTCTCTGTGTGAGTGAGTCTATGGGTCTCTGTGTGATGAGTCTATAGGTCTCTGTGTAAGTCTATGGGTCTCTGTGTGAGTGAATATATGGGTCTCTGTGTGAGTGAGTCTATGGGTCTCTGTGTGATGAGTCTATGGGTCTCTGTGTAAGTCTATGGGTCTCTGTGTGAGTGAATCTATGGGTTTTTTGTGTGAGTGAGTCTATGGGTCTCTGTGTGATGAGTCTATTGGTCTCTGTGCGATGAGTTTATGGGTCTCTGTGTGATGAGTCTATGGGTCTCTGTGTGATGAGTCTGTGGGTCTCTGTGTGAGTGAGTCTATGGGTCTCTGTGTGCGTGAGTATATGAGTCTCTGTGTGAGTATATGGGTCTCTGTGTGATGAGTCTATGGGTCTCTGTGTGAGTGAGTCTATGAGTCTCTGTGTGAGTGAGTCTATGGATCTCTGTGTGATGAGTCTATGGGTCTCTGTGTGAGTGAGTCTATGGGTCTCTGTGTGATGAGTCTATGGGTCTCTGTTTGAGTGAGCCTATGGGTCTCTGTGTGAGTGAGTATATGGGTCTCTGTGTGAGTCTATGGGTCTCTGTTTGAGTGAGTCTATGGGTCTCTGTGTGAGTCTATGGGTCTCTGTGAGAGTCTATGGGTCTCTGTTTGAGTGAGCCTATGGGTCTCTGTGTGAGTCTATCCTCAAACACCCAGTCGTTCGTAAAACTCGAAGGCGGTGTAGTACTATAGTAATAGAGCAAGTGCAGAATCGCTGAACCGGATTTGATAGCTCGCAAGCATTTAGCGCGGGGGGCCCTTGAAAGTGCGGGGCCCGTAGCTACATTTATAGCTACTACACGTGTAGCAGCTGCTACATAAGCGTCGTAGCTGCACGTGTATTCGCTGCACGTGTATTCGCTGCTACACGTGCAGCTACTACTTATGCAGCTACTACATATGCAGCTACTACTTATGCAGCTACTACTTATGCAGCTACTACTTATGCAGCTACTACTTATGAAGCTACTACTTATGCAGCTACTACTTATGAAGCTACTACTTATGCAGCTACTTGTGCTGCAAGGATCATACGGAACTGCCCCTATTGTACTCTTTGTTTTTTTCGATAAAGTCACGTAGGTAAAAAAGTAAAATAAATGAAAACAATTCAATTAAATCACGTTTGGGAGGCATTATTTAATTTCATTTTTTTTCCTACGTGACTTTACCGAAAAAAAACAAAGAGTTTGAATCCCTGCAGTCACGAAAGCTTCATATCTAGAATTAATGCCCCTATTGTGTTTATTGTTGTTATTGTTGTTGTTGTGGCCTGTGCCCTATTACTGCCGCACATCGGCGATACAAGAACCTTCCGCGCCACCCACTCAGCAATTCCCCACAGCGGCACCGCCTGGCGGCCACTCCGCGTGGGCAACGTCGTGGTCCTCGTTCTCTTCTTGCAGGGACTCACTACACTTGGAGCGGCCGCTGGTTTTGACTGCGCGATTATCCGGCTGCAAAGAGTTCAATCTGCCACCACCAACAACCACAACAACCGTCAACCGCCACCACCAACCGCCACAACCAACAACAACCGCCACCACCAACAACAACAACAACCACCACCAACAACACCAACCGCCACCACCACCACCAGCAACCACCACCACCAACAACACCAACTACCACCACCAACAACACCAACCGCCACCAACAACACCAACCACCAACACCAACCACCACCAACAACCACCACCAACAACCACCACCAACCACCACAAAGCCAACAAGCCCAGCCATGACGGCCCGATACGACCGCGCCATCACCGTCTTCTCGCCCGACGGCCACCTCTTCCAGGTGGAATACGCCCAGGAAGCCGTGAAGAAGGGCTCCACGGCGGTACGTATCCCTCTTGCTCTTCCATTAGAACGATAACCGAGATGTTTGTGTGGTTCCTTAAAGTTTTGTTAATTCATTCAGACGGAGTGGACGTTTGCGGCCTATGCTCGGGCCTACTCGAAGCCCACGGCCTTGCCTAGAACCCGCGCCGTCGGTGGCCGTTGAGCGGCCGGGCGCGGCTTCTAGGCGAGGGTCGGTCCCGGTTTTTTTTTTGCATTGTCATGTGGCCGAACGCTTAACAATGATAAATGTTTTTAAAGTAAAAATTTGCTTTCCTCGTGCCGATGAAAGTTAACGCGCGGCTCACTCTGCCTTTTGTAAGATATAACGACGGCGCACTCGCGAAATATTAAATTCTGCCCATTCAACTTGCGGGCCATGCGGCCCAAGACACGGGCACACACGGGGTGGTCATTCGGCAGTGGATTTGGCAAGAGGGCTTTACGTTATTGTTGTTATTATAGTTATTATAGTTATTGTTTATATACTTGCAGTCCTGTGGACTTACATAGAGATCCATAAACATCCATAGACTCGCATAGAGTGACTTTACCATAGACTCGCATAGAGACTCATTTAGATACCCATTGATTCGTATAGCGACCCATAGACTCGTATGGAGACTAAATCATAGACTCGCATAGATACTGATTTAGATACCCATAGTTTCGCATAGTTTTAGGTATAACCCTGTGAGCCATGCGGCTCTTGACTCGGGTGCAACCGCAACAAAAGAAAAAGATGAACAAGAAACATCTTAAAGCTACTACACGCAACAGAAAAATCCTGGAAAAAACAGCAACAGTCTTCTAGAAAAAAACAGCGTTTCAACGCTGTGTGCTAATATCCCAGTGGGATGCAAGTCAAACAATAACATCCATAAGACAATGTAGATTAAAGTTATCAGGCTAACTCTGTACTACAACAAACAAACACGGCTAAACCAAAACGTTTTCAAAATCACCAATATAAAGCTATGAAAACAATGTAACAGCGATCATAGGAACTGTGATTCAAATTCAACAATAAACGATATACATAACACGTATGACCAAACTTTGCAGGCATGGTTGGCAGCATGAGTCACTCCATAACAGCAGGAGTATAAGTAGCAGAATACAAACTTTTCAATACACCTTTAGAGACCCGTAGACTCACATAGATACCCATAGGCTCGCATATAGAGGCTATGCCACAGACTTGCATAGAGACTCATTTTAGATACCCATAGATTCGCATAGCGACCCATAGACTCGTATGGAGACTATACCATAGACTGACGTACAGATTTGCTTAGAGACCCATGGACTCGCATAGAGACTCATTTAGAGAACTATAGAATCGCCGAGTTACCCATAGACTCGTATGGAGACCATACCATAGACTCTTACAGAGACTCATTTAGATACCCATAGACTCGCATACTCATTTAGATACCCATGGATTCGCCTAGACACACATTAACTCGCATCGAGACCGTGTCATTAATATTGCCACTGAATTGCCAATTAAAATATCGGGGCGGCTTAGAAGGGGGGAGCTTGGATCGTGTCTGAATGGGGAAGTGTTGTGCACACAACAGGTGCTATAGGCCGCCGTGTGCCTACCTTGTAGGCAGTACAGATTGTTGTACAGTACTTCTATGCTCGCGCGTCCTCAATAGCTCCCCGCATTCAAACAAGCAGCATTGACCAGCGCGGTGAAGTATGGTCATTCCCACCCCCCCCCCCCCGCAAAACTTACATTATTTCACTCGTTTCTAGATTTTATCTCATGATCACAAAACCTCCTTAAATTAACAAAGATTCCCTCGTAGACATAATAGACTGTTGAGGCAAGTGTTGTTAGCGAGCAGCACCTATGATGGCCGACACAGAACACGAGAGGGGTGGGTGGCCAGCACCACGCCTGACCGCCTTTGTCTCCCCAGTGGCGATGTTTACTACACACCGCACCAGGTACTCATTTGAGACTGAGTAGACCTAGGTGAGACCCATCATCACTGGTGGTGGCCGTGGGCGTGAATCGAACTCGGGTCCCCGGGTTCGTAGCGCTAACCGCTACACCACCGCTCCAAACACACGCACACTCGAATACAAAGGCAAATACAGTATCAGCTTCGTAACCATTAACAGACAGTTGGGGCATTTCTACTCGCGAGCACTGGGTGGGTGGGTGGCAGAGGTCGCAAACGGGGTTTGATTCCTTACCCGTACCCGGCCGCACTAGGGTAACAAACGGGTACCCGTACCCGTACCCGGCCGGGTATGGGTACCCGTTCCCTACCCGTACCCTACCCGAAATGAGTGACAAACGGTGACTCACCAGTGACTCACGGCCTACCCGTACCCGGCAGCACCAGGGTCGCAAACGGGTACCCGTACCCGGCCGGGTACTGGTAGCCAGGTATCGGGTAGGGTACGGGTATCGGGTACCCGGTTGCGACCTCTGGTGGGTGGGTTGGTGGGTGGGGTGTGTGCGGTGTGGCCAATGCCCGTGATAACCCGTTCACCTGCGTTTCCTACCTGTGCTCCCTCCGGCTGTCCCAACCCTAGGTGGGCATCCGAGGGCTGGACATCGTGGTGCTGGCCGTTGAGAAGAAGTCTGTGGCCAAGCTCCAGGAGGAGAGGACAGTCCGCAAGATCTGTGCTCTCGATGACCACGTCTGCATGGCCTTCGCCGGTGCGGAGGGGGGTCAGAGGGACATGTCGGAGGGGGGTGGGGGGCAGAGGGAGATGTCGGAGGAGGGTGGGGGCGGTGGTGGGGGGCAGGCAGGTGGCAGCGGTTGCTCTAGTGGAGGTGGAAAATGTTGGGGCCCGGGAGAGGGTGGGGGCAGTATAGTAGTAGGTTTTTACCCTTTTAAACTGTCCAACACCAATGGGGACTAGGCTCTAAAGAAAGCCGACTAGGCTCTAAAGAAAGCCGTCTCGGGTGTGGACCAATCAACTTCAAGGACAGTGCATATTATTATCATTATCAGAGTTGCTTCTTTTTGTTTGCTTTTTTGACTACTTGTGTTGTGGTTATTGCAAACATGATGCCTTGAATAAAGGTGTCAGTTTTGTACCAGTTTAAAAGGGTAAAAACCTACTACTATATTTTGCCACTGGTAAAAGAGGTCTCATAGTGAGGGTGGGGGCAGTCGTGGAGTGCAATGTTAACTACCTCGCCTGGTATACAGGAGGTTGTGGGTTCGATCCCAGGCTTGACTGATACCTTTCTATCTGGCAACAAAACTGACACCTTTTTTACAAGGAGTCATGTTTGCATAAACCACAATACCTGCTCCTTTTGGCGTCATCTGGTCCAACCCATGTGAGACTAGGCTCTAAGGAAAGCTGTCTCGGGTGTGGACCAATCAACTTCAAGGACAGTGCATACATTATCAGAGATATGTTTTTTGTTTGCATTACGGCTGCAGGTATTGTGGTCTATGCAAAAAAAGGTGTCAGTTTTGTTGCCAGATAGAAGGGTAAAAAAACAATTATCAAAGTTATTGCACTTAATTTTTATTCTTCCGGTCTCCATTCCGATGACGCACACGCACGTGGACATATATAGCAGTCAAATACTCTTAAACGCACATTTATAAATATGGAGGGAAATACCGGAGAACCCAGAGAAAAATCCACAGGACCACGGGAAGACAGACCAGGCAAGCTCCAAATACACATGACGTACGCGTACGTCATCGGAAGGCAGACTGATGCCGTGCAAGTACGCACGGGACAGGAAAACTTAAGGCTGAAAGCGTCAACGCATGGAACTCGTTCTTGGTCTGTCCGTGCGTCCGTGCCACAGGGTTGACGGCAGATGCGCGGATCGTGATCAACCGTGCGCGCGTCGAGTGCCAGAGCCACAAGCTGACGGTGGAGGACCCCGTCACGGTGGAGTACATCACGCGCTACATCGCGGGCCTCAAGCAGGTAGAATGCGATGTTTCGCTTTGCGCCCGGGCTCGATGGACCCTCCGTGAGACCCGCTCCAGGATATTTGGCCTGTTAAAAACTAGAAACGAAAAGCTGTTCTGGATTTTAGCAGGTAAGGCCCACTGAGCTATGTGGTCTCTTTTTAAATCCTTTATATTAAGTTCGCTTGCTTGCTTGCTTGCGCGCTTACGACCGTGCAAATCTTTCGTCCTCAGGTGAAGAACAGGTCTGTCGGGGAGACAGACCTGTTCTTCACCTGAGGACGGCTGCTTGCGTTGTGGCCGAAACGTCGTGAGAATTATTTTATTATGTTTTATTTTCATTATTTTATTATTTCCCTTCTACGTGACTTTACCGAAAGAACCAAGAAGATGCAAGTATTGTGCTTAATGTAAGCATGATTCCTTGCAAAAGGTGTCAGTTTTTGTTGCCAGAAAAAAGGGGAAAAACCCCTATTAGTATAAATAAGGTAGTTAACATCTCACCACCCACTCTTTACCCCACCACACGTGACCTGGTGGAACACCCACGTTCCTCGAAATAAACCGTC